AAAAAAAAAAAAAAAAAAAACACATCTTAGTAAAACCAATACCTTCTCAGCTTCGCATCGAAGCTAAAATAAATTTATCATAAGTGAATTCTTACTCAGATGTGACAATAAATATGATAAATATAAATAATAAATAAAAATTTAAACATAAATACTCTGCGCCGTTAATTAAAAAACAACTGATTACAAATACAAACAGCAACGAAAAAATTATGTTAAATTTTTTGTTTTACATGTCTTATATATATTGAAAATGTTCTATTGTTATTTTTAATAATAATTATTAAGGGCTTGGTGTAACAACCAGATATGCCCAACTTTTTTAGAAAATAAATTTTTTTTAATTTTGAATAAAAAGTATTTTTTGTGTAATTCAGTACAAAATCGAGTTATATATTACTTTATTATTTCTGGATATATTTAATACAAAAAAAAAAACCATTTCAACAAGATAAAAAAAAATAGTTCATATTCACGTAAAAATGTATAATACTAATATTTGTCTCGCCTCACTTAAATTTTGACGTAAACATTTTTTTTTTATTTATTACAGTCGTTAAATTTAAAGAATTAATTGTTTAATAATTATCATAATATTCGATGTAAATATCATTTACTCTTTTAATAACTGATATTCTTTGAGAAGTCACTTCACATTTAAAATCAATGTTCAAAAAACACAACTAATACAAAAATTTCTTTTCATATTTATTAATAACAATAACTCTTATCCTATCACGGAAACTATCCTACTTCTACAAGTATACTTATTATTTATTAGGAAATAATATAAATAAATATCATACTTACTATCGTACCTAATTTTTAACGTCTTGTTAATACACAATTTTATACACACATATTTAACAGTATGTTTATTTTATTAAAATTAACATAAATATTAAAAAATCTTTTCTAATAAATACCTACATCACACATGAAATATCATACTAAAACTGAATATATAAGTACTACAAAATAATTACTTAATAATAATATAATTATTACATTATTCAATAAGAACATTACAAAAAATATAATTATATAATATAAACATAGACTCACTTTGGGAAGTCACATGCCGTATGAAAATTGATTTTAATACATTTATTATTGTTCAGATGTTCATTGGAACTTACAGAATCTAACTACTATCCAAAAGCTGAGTCAGCAATTATTCTTAAAATAACGATCGAAGTTAAAGTCATACTGATCAAATATATGATAAAATTCTAAAATCATATTAACACGATTATCAAATTGTAAGTTTTACAATCAATTAATTAAATTCTCAATTTTAAATTTTAAATAATTATTTATTTGGCAATCAATGACATATTTTGAGAAACTTTAAGATATACTATCAAAATATTATTAACAGAATATATAACAGAAATTCAAAATAGAACAGAATTATTCTAAACCAAATATTAACTGAATTAGTTTAGAAACCCACTCTAGAAGCTCCTCAATATTCATCTAATAAAATATATGGTTTATTAATATTTTTTTGATCAAAATTAGTAAAAAGCTTTTTATAACCAGAAACTTTTGCAGAATTAGTATTAGAACTAGTAAAAATTCTTGAACAAACTTACCTTTAAAAAGAAATTAAACTCCGCTAATATAATACCCAACAATTCATAAATTAAAGATTTAATAAAAGAATTGATAAAAATATTTATAATAGAAGTAGAATAAACTACTACATTAAAGTCTAAATGAATATATATTAATAATTGAAATTAATAAAAACAAAGATTTAAAGAATACTTGTTTCAAAGATAGAAATTTAGCATACATACAGCTAATAAAATTCTTAAGAAAAACATGGTTATTTGTTTCAATAAATAGGAATTAAAATTATAACAGAGTTAGTACAAATTTTAGAATTAACGTACACTGAAATCTTTCATACATTACCAAACTCTTATTCTTGAAATCACAGATATAAACATATTCTAGAGAAAAACCAACTAGTAATTTTACTAATAAATCGAATACCAATTTAAGTAACGAATCGATTACTATTATAACTGAAGAACATTTGTATTCACTCAATAAAGCAGAATTCATTGGAAGTATTTCCTTATATACAGTTAGGAGGAATTATCAAGTAGAAATCTGATATGTACATCCACACAGCTTGATTTAAAAGATAGACTTCTTGGCTCCTTAGATAGTTATATCATGCGATTATATTGAAAACGAATAACCCAAAATGAGTAAAAAAATACCCTTTTGTAAGCCTGATAAATTTTCTGGTGCTATGCAGAGTATAAGTGCATTTCTCATTCAATATAATAGATCCAGTGAAATGAATCAAATGAATTTTAGGCACTCAATCATATATTTAGCAAATCACAAAAGATGCCCCTGATGGAAAATGTTTGAAAAACGGCATAATTAAATTGAGTCTTATACCTCTGCGCCGAGGCACAAAACAAGCCGCCGGTTGTTTTAGTGGTAAAAAGTTTAAGATGAAATTTAACATTTTAGTACCAGGAATTCATGAGAATATCGTTAGATAACATCATTCGGGTCGCTTTGTAGAATAATTTAAGTGGCTACTTGAAAATCGCAAGCAAAACGCTGAACATCTCGAGATACACTATCGTGTTCATTAGTCCTTATAAACTCCTGGTACTAGATTTTAATATTTGTTACAAAATACCAACACCGGTCAACAATTGTGCATTTTTCATGCATTCCTGATATAAAAAATTAACCTTTTATCTTGTAATTTAATAAATTGGTACGGGAGCGTATTTTGGATTTTTATTAAAATATATCTTATATTAGAGTGTGGGAGATAGAAGTTAAATCCTCCACAATGATAATTATAATGTGTTCAAATTAATATTTGTAAAGATAATTTTTTTGAACAATCTTCCTATGAAAAAACTGAGCACACCATAAAACATGTAATAGTAGAGCCAATAAACTTAACAAATTAAAATTAGAGGGGAGGAAGCCTCTTAGCGACACTTTTTTTTGTATCTATAAAATAATGGTTTTATTTTTTTAATTTAAAAAAAGGAAGCAATGTGTTATTTTCTATTTTAATATTGTCAACAATTAACAATTCTTTAAAGTATTTTAAAAGAATATCAAATTTATGATGTTCTTCAATAATTCATTCAGACTACAAAAAAATCTATTAGAATGTTAATAATAATAAGTTAATACTCGAACAAAGTATATCATTTAATTTAAATAAAATATAAAAAAAACTTAATGTTTACACTTGTATCTTGTATCTTACCTACTAAAAACGTACATTATAGCGTTTTATATATTATTTATATATTTTGAAGTACATTTATGTATAGTCAAGTATTCGAGTATAAATTCATTGTGATTTTTCTATTTTACTAACAAGCCTTATTGTCAGATAATTCACATTTTGAGGTTATTCAAAAATATTTGCCAAGCGTGTTGCTTTTTGTTGATTTCATGTTATGAATTTAACTGCGATACTTATTTAACCATCCGTGAATTTTCAAAAGAGTAAGATTCCCTTTTTGAGAACACTAAGCTGAAAAGAAAATGGATGTGATAATCATTTTCTAATAAATATAACGTATATGATAGACGTTATATTTAGGATTAATAATATACTAGCATAACTTTTGAAGTATGTAAATTTATATGACAGGACCGTATTTTGGGGGTGGCTCAGAGGGGCCATAGATCTCACAAAGTTCTTAGGGGTGAATATCAATATTAAAGAACATAACCTACAAATATTTTTTATAATGCAATGGATAAAAGAATATTTGATTGTTCTAATATC